GCTAATGGTCTAATCCAATTAAATAATTGATGCTAAGCTAAAAGTGCTCCTGCTAGACTCAAAGATTGGCTGAATAGGGACTGGCTGAAAGAAAGAAAGAAAGAAAGAAAGAAAGAAAGAAAGAAAGAAAGAAAGAAAGAAAGAAAGAAAGAAAGAAAGAAAGAAAGAAAGAAAGAAAGAAAAGAACTTGAACAAATTAGCCACTAAACTGACAAAACTTAAAGTAGTTATGTTTCCTTAAGAGATCAGGCTAGAGGATTGACACAAGCATGTAAAAGAGATGTGTACCTGCAAAAGACATTGTTCAGTGTGGGGTGAGTGAGTGAGTGAGGGAGTGAGTGAGTGAGTGAGTGCGTGGGTAAGTGAGTGAGGGAGTGAGTTGAGGTGGTTTGTATGGGGATGTTTTGTGTCTGATGGATGAATTTATTTCCCATGGCGGTCACTTTTGGCTGTGAACACCACAGGTTTAACAAGGTTGACTTAAAAACTTAAAATTAAATGAAAGAGGTGATCTCTGCTTTTATATGTCAAGTGCACAGTGTGGAGGATACCATAAGGCCTTGAGTCAATCAGATGTAAAACACAATATTTATGTGTTTTAGGATGTAAATCGGTCAGATTTGACCCGAACACCACAGAAAGGTTTAAATAAGTATAATAATAGTGTAATACTAATGTATACGAGTATAATAATGAGTGTAATAACACAATTATTAAGTTTTTTGGGGACAACTTACTTGTTTAATGTTCAATCTACTTAATAAAGGGACTAAGCCGAAAAGAAAATGAATGAACGAATGTTCAATTTTTTTCAATTTGTAAAAAGAATTACGTTTACGTATAATGTTACAATATTTATATTTAAAGAAAAAAACGTTCATCACACAGTGAAATACCTGCTGTTTTACCGATATGTTCTGTAATAAAACAACTCTAACATTAAACGTGCAGCTATTGCTTGTATTTTGACGTTATTTTTCAGTTTTTAAAAGAAATGTTCTGTATTTTCAGAGAGTAACACTAATTTTACATTAATATTTACAGGTTATACCTGTAAATATAGAGAAACAAAAATTCTGTCAAATAGTTTTTAGTGAACATAGTAAACATATGAAGATTAACATGAGGTTAATAATGACAAATAATAGCCTATAGTTTGTAGGCTAGCTGCATATAATGCATGCACTGTGAACCATAAAATGTTTATTTTACTACGCTAACAATGTTGCAATGCTAATTGTTACGATCATCAGTGATCTAGCAGTTGCGGATCGCTGGAAAACTACACAGCCATACTGCTTTAATGAATTACAACTCCCAGCATGCACCTCGCACACCCAGGTTCCTAATTCTGACTGATTACACACACAGTCAGAAGATTGAATAAACTCAGCACACACAGACGCATCATTGCTGAGTCTTAAACTGTTTAGTGAGCATTACGGCTCATTTCCCCTTGACACATTTGACCTCTTTACTTTGTTGTTTTGTTTGTCGCCTTTACACTTGGAATTATCTGTGTGAACCTGTTTGTTCCTTTTTCAACATTTAATTGCAAGACGACTCTTAATAAACTGAAATTTGATCCTCAACTTTGTTGTGCAGGCGTCCTCACATGACACCAACCTTGTTTTTGTTGTTAAAAGACCAAATGTGTTATTTGTAAAAAAAAGAAAAGAAAATAGTAATATTAAAAAATAAAAAAAATAGACTTCTTATTATTCTAAATTATTATATTTTATAATTATTTTATTATGTAATAAAACTAATAAGAGAAAATTTTATTTGTTTTATTTCGGCTATAATCATAGCAGTTTTTAATTTTTTAAGAAACTATTTTAAGGTCAAAATTATTAGCCCCTTTAAGCTAGATTTGCTTTTGTTTTTTGATAGTCTACAGAACAAACCATCGTTATAGAATAGCTTGCCTAATTACTCTAACCTGCCTAGTTACCTAATTAACCTAGTTAAGCCTTTAAATGTCACTTTAATCTGGACAGAAGTGTCTTGAAAAAATATCTAGTAAAATTTTTTACTGTCATCATGGCAAAGATAAAATAAATCTGTTATTAGAAATGAGTTATTAAAACTATTATGTGTAGAAATGTGTTGAAGAAATATCTCCGTTGAACAGAAAATAGGGAAAATAATGAACAGGCGGGCTAATAAGTCTAACTGTATAACAATTTTATATTTTTTTAAGCAAATTGTTTTGAAGTTTAACCTACATATCCAAATTGTGCCGTTTTGGTGACTGTCGCTTTAAAGTCAAATGAGAGGGTGGAGCAAATAGATAAATGCCTGTGTGTCAGCATAGTGGCAGATTCAACATTCAAACATTTTACCCTATTTGATTCTGCTGATAGATAGATGGATGGATGGATGGATGGATGGATGGATGGATGGATGGATGGATGGACGGACGGACGGACAGACAGACAGACAGACAGACAGACAGACAGACAGACAGACAGACAGACAGACAGACAGACAGACAGACAGACAGACAGACAGATAGATAGATAGATAGATAGATAGATAGATAGATAGATAGATAGATAGATAGATAGATAGATAGATAGATAGATAGATAGATAGATAGATAGATAGGTTGGTTGGTTGGTTGGTTGATTGATTGGGGTTGAGTGATTGAACATATTTTAATAATTTTGCATTATAGCATGTTTCCATTATAAAAGCCTTCAGTCTGCTCTTACAGCTGTGAACAGATGGACAGTATCTGGTTTACAGTCCAGAAGATGAGCTGCGGATGTGATCCAGAAGAATGGGTGTGTATGAGTGTGATCAGCAGTTTAATGCAGCTGACAGGACGGCAAGACTGAAATAACTTTGATGACATCTGAAAACTAAGAACAGCAAAAGGAGCAACAAGACTAAGCTTTAGAGACTGAGGTCAGTCATAGGATCCTGCTTCAGTGCTTTAGTGTGTGTGCGTGTGTGTGTGCGTGTGTGCGTGTGTGTTTGTGTGTGTGTGTGTATGTGTGTGTTCAGAGAAACCTCCTGGGACCATCATAAACGGTTATTCATCAGGCTTTTCCACTTAGTAGAGTATGTTCGTTTAATGGAGAGACTTAATGTTGGTCCGCAGCCGAAAAGTCTGTAAGGTTGGATTAAATTAGATTAGCGCAGCACCTATTGAGTTTCTTATTCAGAATTCAGAAAATGAGAGCCAAAGTTATTCGTAGAGTTTGAACTGAATAATCTAAAGAAGTCATTGCTAGTAGGTTATATTAAGATTCAGTTTGCTCCGATTATTCTGTGCATGTTAAATAGTGAGTTATGATTCGTAATTACAACTTTTCCACTTGGTGCCATTTTTAAACAATTGAAAACAAGTGGTGTTTTACTGATGTGTGTTCATATGCACTCAAAAAATAAAATATATTTATATTTGCTGCTTGTTCAAACTACTTATTTAAAATTAGCTGAATCTTATTAGATTTTTGTTTAATCTACTTAAATTAGTTACACTAACCTAATGGATTTGTGTTGGGAAAGCATGAATGAATTATGTGGAAATTATGTGGTGTGTTTTAGGCATCTTAGAGCACTGTATGCTGGGTTCCACACAATTCTCTCATGTTGTCCCAACACAAATCGATTAATTAACTTTATTATTTTTACACATTTAAATGGATTGAACATAAAAAAAAAGAATTTTGTTGATTCAGCTGATTTTAAACACATAGTTTGAACAGGCAGCAAATTTTTTTTTGTGGGATTCTGTGGTAACAAAGGAAAGATGCTTGTACAAAAAAACAAGGCCTTAAGTGAAAGATTTGCCACTATTGTCTAAAGATCAGCTATGCTAACTATTAATACAAATATTCTACATTATATGTATACTATATGTCCTCATTTACTCAATCTGCCACAGTTTGTCACTTTACTTGGTGTATATTTTTGTAGAAACAATATCAAACAAAATGTAAAACAGATTTAAGTTGTATTTTTTTACATTAGAAATAATTGATATCCACTAAAATGCTTTACTCATTTCAGTATTTTATTTTTTACTTAAATATATCTGTTATACACCAAATTATAAAACAACAAAATATCATTTCACCAACTGAACATTTTGTTTGCTCAGCATTTAAAACTTCCATTCAATATAATATCTATGTGTAAAATGTAAGATAATTCATAAAAGATAAAGATAATTGTGTAGAATCCAAACTCCTTGGATTTTTATTATAATTATACTATAATAATGATATTATTAATGATAATAATAATTTTATTATGTAAATTAATTAACTTTATTAATAATAAACTTTACTCCTTGTTCAAAATATTACAGAGTATTAATACAAATACAATATATATATATATATATATATATATATATATATATATATATATATATATATATATACACACACACACATAATACTTTATTAACTTAATTAATTTAATTGAAAATTCCATTTATACATTTTGAATTATTGCTAAAATATAATGCTTCTGTTAGGAAATGCTTTTAATAATTTTAAATCAACCTGAAATCATCATATATAATTATTAAACCCCAGGGGGCTAATAATTCTAACTGTATATATTAAAAATTTTCTATTATTAATCAAGCCTTGGTGGGCAAAAGCGACTTCTTTTAATGTTTCTAAACATTTGGTTGTGTGTGTGTATGCATACTTGTTTTTATATCAGCCCAGTTTTGCTCCAAGTTTTATATTAGCCCAGTTTTGCTAATCAAACTTAGCTGATCTGAACAATCGAGGTCTTCAAAAGAATCTGGAACACCTTGAATAGTTATATCAGCTGTGTTTGATCATGGTTGGAGCAAAACTGTGCAGAGCTGCGGCCCTGCAGGAATTGACTTTGTCACCTGGGTTTAGAGTTAGGGTAGGGGTAAAGGGAGAGAATATACAGTTTGTAGTAGAAACATAATGTTTATGAGAGTCCCCACCAGGATATTGGGACAAATCTATGTTTTTGTGTGTGTGACACTTTCTACATACCTGATTGAAACCAGTTAGCGTAGCAGCACGTGTCTGTTTGAGATCTGACAGGTGTGTGTTTCTATCTCTGTTGACCGATGAATAAAAGCCTCTGCTATTTAGTGATGAAACTTGACAGACTCTTGTTTACCCGAAAGCTCTTCTCCTCTACTCTGCTTTCAGGATGTGCGATTTGTTGCCAGAACCACTTGGCAGTCTGACAGTCACAGAGCCTCCAAGACTTCGGATCTCCAGCTGAAGCTTCCCTTTGATGAACGCTTGTGCGATTAATGCCTGAGGTTAGAGATCCTGAATGGACAGAGTCAGACTGTTGATGCTTTACTGTTGGTGAAGAGACCAAGCAGGTTTGTTGACACCTCAGCAGGATTAAAGATATTTTTCTTAAAGCATTGAACTTTGGACTCAAGAATTGTAGTAGACAGATCACTCGTTGTCAATATCATCCTTAGATTAATGCCAAAAATTGACTTTTTATTACTCCGCTTGACAAAATGAAAGGTCTCCTTCAACGATAAAGCCGGACTTGATGAATGAACTGCCGATTGTGTTTGTTTTTCTAGACGGTGACCTCAAAAAATCAATCTTCCCTCAGATGAATCCTGCTCACTGTCTCTTCTGTGGGACGAAAGATTACAGACACGCTGATGATCAGAAGCAGCTGCCAGCAGGCCGAACGGCGTCACGGACGATATGGAAGTGCCCTCATATTCAAAGGGCATGCTAAGAAATATCAGCAGAGCCGTACCACCTCCTTTCCCTCCCTTTCCCTCCTTCTACTCCTCCTCGTTCCCCTTTCCTCTCACAATGCTCGACTGCCACTCTATTTTAGTTTGGAGGAATATCTCCTCATCAGGAAGGAAAGTGAGATTGTATTGAGAAACAATGGGGGAATCGGTTTAGGCTTGTGGTCGTGATTATGTAGAGCTCCAGAAGTTTCGTTAGATTTTAGCTTCTACAAACATGATTTAGTCAAAACAGCATTTATGGGTATTCCTGAAACATTACTCATCTGTTTTAATTGACATTAGATTAAATTGCACTTAAAAATAATTCTCTTTGTCTGGATTGCATTTCAAAACACTGTGGTTGGGTTTAGGAAAGAGGGTGGGCGGGCCGAATAGGTACTTTTCAAAATACTGTTGGTTGGGTTTAGGGAAGGGGGAGGGTGGGGTTATTGGTCAGTTGGTCAGTCAGACAGTGATTTAGTCAACAGCAGCTTCTGGTGGATTTACGTGAGAACAGCAGGCGTTAACGACACTCGCAAAAGAAATTTGGAATATCAAAAAGCATACACAGCGGCCTATGGCAGACTCTTAAGAACAAAAACTTAGCTCCTGGGACATATTTGGTGTTCTCAAGAAATGTATATAGGGGCACGTAATCAAAATGAACCTGGGTTGAAAGTATGTGATCAGTCAACTGTTATTTAAGTTCTTATGTATTATTGCATTTTTTCCCTTGTTCTTCCTTAAAAAAAAAAAATAAAAATAATAATAATTAAGTAAAAAAAAACAGGAATTTCATGTAATGTCTCTTTTTTTCATTTAAATTAAATTTTCATAATCGAATAAAAATTTCTCGACTGTAAAAAATTTATTTGTAAGATAAGAATTTTCAGCTGGGTCTCACGAGGAAAATTGGCTAATTAATATGAATTCATACAAATTAATTCATATGTAAACGTACGATTTTTAAAAGGAGGCATCAAAACACCACCGTTGAACGTACCCTTCATTGAAAGATGATCCAATCATACTAAAATGTATTAATCAATCATACAAATCAATATAAATTAGCCACTAAATCAAAAAGTTACAAATCGCCACAAGATTTTGTTCAAATTTGTTCACTGTATCATCAATGCCAATTAAGCCCCTCGTATTTTTCAGAGTCCGTACAGAATACAAATTTTTCACGAATGCCAGTGCAAGAAATACTTTGCGTGGGAACCATTAGAATCTGTTTTTTAATAATCAGCGTATAATCAGTATAATCAAAAGCCAACATAGAACAAGAAAGTGCCTTGAGGTCGTTTCCAAAACATGGGGATTTACTCAACGATTAAAGCCTATTATGTAACAGTGTTTCTTCTCACAACCATTTCAACACAACCAAGTAAGATGCCACACCCCCAAACCAACAACAAATATCTCTTTTATAAATCCATTTTTATTGAAGTGATGCAGGCACATGATGATTCCTCAGATGTGAAATTGCAACGGGACATTTAGGAGAGCCACCATGTGACTGGACTTGCTTCGGGCCATTGCTCGGATAGATCAGTTTAGAGTTTGCCTTCTTTATATCTTTGTTTCTGATACTCACAGTCAAATGTAATCTTTGACACCAATCTCAAGGACACAAAAGCTATCCATTTCAAGAGTTCACACTCAGCTATTGCTTGAAACAATTTGCAAATCTGGCATACTGTCCTGGGAGAGAACCCTGAGCTTGGAGGGTTCCCGCCTGGTCATTTAGCATGATCTAGTAGGTCTCAAGAGCTCCCCCTGGTAAAGGGGGAGATGGTATGGATGGGGGGATTATTCAAAACAAAGATAAGAAAGGTACAATGAATGGGTTTATTTATTGGAGGCTAGAATTCATCTGATTGGTCTAGCAATGATTATTAAGCGGGAGTCTCCCATATTTCAAACCCATCACCCGCCACCCTCCCATTGTGTTATTTCTCTTAAAAACTCCCATAATTTCACCCCCACCCGATTCTCGACTTGAGACAGCTCAGCTTGCATGTGAAAGTCTGCAGCCAGAGACTGTTGGTCAAAGTGGACATCTTAACTTTTAACATTACCCAAAACTAATGAATCTGAAATTGTAATATTGACTAATGTGTCTAATATGTGTTTATAAAAATGAAAGTTTTAAAGGTGACCTATTATGCAAAAATCAATTGGTTTCAAGTGGTCTAATCACAGTTGTGTAGCAACAGTGTGAATATAGCCAGCGCATAATGGTTACAATCGATTTATTCCATTTTTTTTATATAATCCCGCTTGATTAAAAACAGTCTGCAGAAACACTCTGGATGCCATCCCCTTTTTGTACATGTCATCAGGGGGGAAAACCTCACCCATTAGTGAAAAACCGCTCCCTCATTAGCATAAACAGCCTTGAGTGAGAAGCAGCCGTCCACCATTAGAGTTTTCACGCTGTATCTGTAAAAGATAATGCCAACGGCTAAGGGGCATTATGAATGTAGAGTTATAGGATGCACAACCATCTGGACTGCCTTCTGGTTCACTTCTTCTGACATTCCAGTTTTTCACAGAGAAAACAATAAGAACACCTCACATGAGTGTTAACTTGTTTTTTTGTGTCATTTTGTGTCAACAGTGAGCTGCAGTTCTGTGGGCGCAAACGCCATGTTGATGCCAGAGGAGAATAGCCAGAAGGGTTCCAGCTGATAGAAAGGCAACAGTAACTCAAATACAACTGAGGTATGCAGAAGAGCATCTCTGAACGCACAACACATCCAACCTTGAAGCAGATGGGCTACAGTAGCAGAAGACCACACCGGGTGCCCCCCAGTTAGCCAAGAACAAGAAACTGAAGCTATAATTCGCACAGGCTCACCAAAATTAGACTAGAAGATTGGAAAAACGTTATCCGTGTTGATGAGTCTCAATTTCTGCTGCAACATTCGAAAGGTAGGGTCAGAATTTGGCATCAACAACATGAAAGCATGGATCAACCCTGCCTTATATCAACAGTTCAGGCTAGTGGTGGTGGTGTAATGGTGTGGGGGACAATATCTTGGCACACTTTGGGCCCATTAGTACCAATTGTGTCAACCCCACAGCCTGAGTATTGTTACTGACCGTGTCCATCCCTTTATGACCACAGTGTAATCATCTTCTGCTGGCTAGTTCCAGCAGGATAACGCACCATGTCATAAAGCATGAATCATCTCAGACTGGTTTCCTGAACATGATAATTAATTCACTGTACTCAAATGGCCTCCACAGTCACGAGATCTCAATTCAATAGAGCACCTTTGGGATATGGTGGAACGTCAGATTCACATCATGAATGTGCAGCTTACAAATCATGCAACTGTGTGAAGCTAACATGTTAATATGGAGCAAAATCTCTGAGGAATATTTCCAGTACCTTGTTGAATCTATGCCATGAAGGATTAACGCAGTTTTGAAGGCAAAAAGGGGTCCAACATGGTACCATTAAGGTGTACCTAATAAAGTGGCCGGTGAGTGTATATTGTAATCAGTGTAAATGAGGTTACCATATAAGGCTCTGATAAAAGGTTAACAAACACTTGAATAATATAAACCAGGGTTGCTTCTGTAGCTTTAACAAGCCTCTGCGGCTGTGGGTGCAGGAACTGCTGGAGGTAAAGTGTGACTGCAACACTCAAAGTTGTCAGCAACACCACTGAGACTCGCGGCACTCTCTCATGGTCATACGGACAGAGATAAAATGCCTCTCTCTTCATTTAGCACTGCCACAGGATTGTGTGAAGAGAATCGGCCATGTGCCCTCAACACACTACACCGCAACTAATCCTGAAACAAGGTCATTGAAGGTGCAAATGGCAGACTGAATCATCGCTATATATACATTACTCAAACAGCTGAAGGGCAAAAGTGCTTGTTTCTCACCTCTGCTCACACCTTATTTGATTCATGCAAGTTTAGAAGATAATGATGCTTTAAATGTGTTAGAGCAAACTACACTGATAAAGCCATACACTCTAAAAACGGTTGGGTTTACTGTTGCACCAAAACATTTGATTCATTTTGTCCCAACACAAACTGATGAAGTTAACTTTTTTCTTTCACACATTTAAGTGGATTGAACATAAAACAAATAAGGTTGCCGCTGTCGATGGATTGCTCTTCAGTGTCTGGACTCTCAGAAGTGATTATTAAACCACACTAAATATTTTTCTAACCTTTCTCTTTGAACCCCAGAGATGGTTGGACGTAAAAATCCCAGTAGATTAGCAGTTTCTGAAATATTCTGGTTTATCAGACCAGCCCATCTGGCACCTACAACCATGCCACATTCCCCATTCTGATGCTCGGTTTAAACTGCAGCAGATCGTCTTGACCATGTCTACAAGCCTAAATACATTCAGTTGCTGCCATGTGATTGGCTGATTAGAAACGTGCGTTGATAAAGAGTTGGACAGGTGTGCCTAATAAAGTGGCCAGTGAGTGTACTTTTCCTTCATAAAAAAAAAAAAACATACTATTAGGGTGTGGTATGCGTATGTGAATTGGGACACAGCATTATTGTGCTATGACTATTGCTCAGTGAAGTTGTAGGTGATCTTTGAAAGGCATTCCCTTGTCTTTTGAATATTATTAGCTTAAATCTGCTGGTGGTTTGTTTGTTATTGCATCGTTTTTTTAAAATTGCAGCACGTTTAGCTCTCTTTGCCACCATTGCATTTCAGCCATCCTCTATTTACCCAGAAATCATTGCGAGGATAGTGACCCGCCATGACCTCTCACGTTTTACCCACCTAGACAGCGATAATCCACCTGACGATCATGTGAAAAGACAAACATCTTCTTTTACTTATTGCGTTAACCTTCGGCCACTCATATTGACCTTTATTGTTGTGCAAACAGATGAGCGGATTATTAAGCAAAAGGCTTCTCAAAACACATCCTGAAAAGCCAAACAAAACACTTGCA